TGAAGGTCAGAGCCTCAGACAGGTGAAGGTCAGAGCCTCAGACAGGTGAAGGTCAGAGCCTCAGACAGGTGAAGGTCAGAACCTGAGACAGGTGAAGGTCAGAACCTCAGACAGGTGAAGGTCAGAACCTGAGACAGGTGAAGGTCAGAGCCTCAGACAGGTGAAGGTCAGAGCCTCAGGCAGGTGAAGGTCAGAGCCTCAGACAGGTGAAGGCACTGATAAGTGTGAACTTGTAAATACATTGATCTTCTTGCCGGCTCTTCTCCAAAGCTTTGTAATAAATCTGGTGATGTCTACACCTGGTTGTTTTGGAAATCGCTTTTTTCCACGACAATTTTCGTAATAAAATTTCTGTATTTTGTTGCCATAGAAACGCAATTGTTTATATAATCTAATTTTTTTCCACCTGTTTAGACACGGCTGTCCTGAAGGATTTGAACAAACTGATTAACATCCTTCCATCAGCTCCTTACATAAAGCAGAACAGGCTGATATCTGCAGGCTGGAAACGTTCACCTGCCGGCCAAAAGCAAACCATTGTTTTTACTCCTGTTCATTTTCATTTATATTTTGAAGCACAGGACAAATGTTATTTAAACTTTAGGGGAAAAAAAGACTTTGGATTCACATTTACAACCAACATATGGAGACAACATGATTCAAGATGGCTGCCACAACCAACTGACACATTGTCCAGTTTTGACTGGGCTTAAGACTTTCCTATGCTGCTACGGGCTTAGAATACTAGAGGACAAACTGACCTGATTTCATTAAATGAATAGTTTGTAATTATTTCTATCTTAACGTGTGTTTTGTCTTTCCTCCTAGAGATGGACCTGCTCACCTCCATCCTGGATCTGCCATTCTGTTAGTTCCTGTCCTCTCAAACCCAGCTGGTCGAAGCAGATGGCCGCTCATTCTGCTGGAGGTTTCTTCCTGTTTTTTCATTTCTGTTGCCTTGTGCTTGCTCAAGATGGGAAGCTGTGATGAAATGTAGACTGGACACAGTCTGCTGGCTACCCCACCTTACAGATGCTGATCATAAATTAGAATATCACGAACAAGTTGATTTATTTCAGTAATTCCATTTAAAAAGTGAAACTTGTATATCCATCCTTTGGTTCAAACATCTTATACTACCATCAGGTGGTCAAAAAAGGTACTACAGCCAAACAAATCAACATTTCTTCTAAAATTTGACTATTGTTTAATTTCAAACAATATTATCGTTTATTGCAATAATGTCTTAAGACAATTAATCGCCCAGCAAAATTTGTTATCGTGACAGGTCTAGTCCAAAGTTATGTTCTCTGATGAAAGTAAATGTTGCATTTTCTTTGGCTATCAAGGTCCCAGAGTCTGGAGGAAGAGAGGAGAGGCACAGAATCCATGATGCTGGAGGTCCAGTGTCAGTGCTGGTTTGGGGTGCCATGTCACCTGCTGGTGTTGGTCCACTGAGTTTTCTGAGGTCCAAGGTCAACGCAGCCGTCTACCAGGAAGTTTTGGAGCACTTCTTGTTACTGACCAACTTTATGAAGATGCAGATTTCATTTTCCAACAGGACTTGGCACCTGCACACAGTGACAAAGATACCAGGACCTGGTTTAAGGACCATGGTATCCCTGTTCTTAATTGGCCAGCAAACTCGCCTGACCTTAACCCCATAGAAAATGTATGAGGTATTGTAAAGAGGAAGATGTGATACACCAGATCCAACAATTCAGAAGAGCTGAAGGTCACTATCAGAGCAACCTGGGCTCTCGTAACACCTGAGCAGACACAGACTGATCGACTCCATACCACGACGCATTCCTGCAGTAATCCAGGCAAGAGGAGCAACAACTAAGTACTGATGCTGTACATGCTCATACTTTTTATGCTCATACTTTTCATGTTCATACTTTTCAGTTGGCCAACATTTGTAAAAAAATTTTATTGGTCTTAAGTAATATTCTAATTTTCTGAGACACTGAATTTGGGGTTTTCATTAACATTTGAAATATATCAGTCTGTGTGTAATGAATGAATATAATCTACAAGTTTCACTTTCTGAACGGAATTACTGAAATAAACTTTTTCATGATATAATTTTATGACCTGCACCTGTAGATAATGTTACTAATTGAATTTTTATATATGAATGTTTCTGTTCAGAGCCATGAGACGACTTCTGTTGTGACTTGGTGCTATAAAAATAAACTGAATGTTTAGTCAAGGATTAGAACAGTTGTACAGGCATGAAACTAAAATTTGATTTGGTAGCTGAGTCAAAACATTTTGTGATATTGCATGAGATCAAGATTATTATTATTTTTAACTACAACTCTATCATTTCTCCATTCAAGATGATTTTAGTGAACTTCTTGCATGAAAAACTGTGGGTGATGTGCATTAAAATGTATTTCCATCCACACATACAAGTACTTAATTTATTTACATAAATTTAAAATACACAAATACAGTGGCAATACAAGTGAAGAGTATCAAGACGGGAGTGAACAGAAATATTTCCCATGAATCCACAGTAAAGATGTACTGGTGTGACAAAATCTGAATTTACTGAATAAAAACACTTCACCCTTTTTTTAAGCCATCAGGTGAAATATACTCAGAGGGGAAAAAAAAGTATTTGCAGAATTTTATTGGAGTGAAGCGTTCCCGGTCCCTCTGTACAAGTCATCGCCCCAGAGTCTACAGCTGCTCTTTGGGACGTGCTAACACAAGAACAGAACAAACATGGACACATTACAGCTACGACCCATTCCCCCAGCACCTACACAACACGATGAATCAGTCTATCACAGTTTCTACTTTAAAACCTGCAGGGCTCACATCACCTCGAGTCTCGGAGCTTCAGATCCAGCAACACCTTTCTCTACCAATGGTTCCCAACCGTGATCCTTGAGGAACACCATCCTGCATGTTTTAGTCGTTTCCCTGCTTTCACACATCAGATTTAAATGAATGAGTGATTAACAGGCTTCTGCAGAACATGAAGTAATTATATCACTGAATCAGGTGTTGGAGCAGGGAAACAACTAGAACATACAGGATGGTGTTCCTCAGGGACCTGAGTTGGGAACCATTGCTCTACGCAACACTCACTCCACAGAAAAAGACATCTCTGCCTCGTCAGGCTAAACTTAGCGCTTTGTTTGAACCTAAAATCTTTTGGACTCCGAAGGTTCAAAGGTTAAACTATTTGTTTTATCACTTGTGTGTCTCGTCTAATTGTCTTGTTCATGGCAGCCATTTGTACAAATGCAGGAATTTTAAAGGAGAAGTAAATCGAACACGCCCACTCCTTTATTGTTTTGCAGTTGGAGTTTTAACATCCACTGGAACAGGATGAATTTTATGTCCCGTTACAAAGATCTACATTTAGACCCATAAGTTGGTCAGGACTCCCACAAACTAAGCTCACTCTGTATAAACTGTCCCGCGGTCAGTATCTCACCGAACAGACTGTTGGAGAGCGGCAGCGTTCCAAAACGTCTTGAACCGTGCGCAGGGTTATCGGTTCCTCCTGACAGTTTGTTGACTTTTGAAGTCACTTTGCTGCGTTTTGTCAAGAGTCTCAAACGTGTGACTTTATGGCCAGTTAGACAAAATTACATGAGTTTTAAGTCTCTGGTTGTGAGCTGGTTGCCCAGTGTGATGGGACCACCTAACCCACAGCATCAGAGACAACCCACCAGTGTCATCACTGATCTGAGATCTGTCCGAGCCACAGGTTTCCATCATTTTACCTCCTCCTCTTTTTATTAACCAAGTGAGATTTTGTTCATAAACATAAATCTGAATTTCTTGTTCATGTTGGATGTGTAGCTCTGTGACAGACAGCATTTAGATCCATTCTGATTTAGTGACGCAGGAAATGAGCACGATTTTATAACTTCAGGCTGAGTTTGGCACAAACCTGCTGTCCTCCAAAAATCACACGGTGCGAGCCCCAAACGTGACCGTTTTCATTTCCAACGTTTAAATCGGACAGGTAGACCCAGGTGGGTACACAGCTTGTTGAGGTGGGCAGAGAAAGTAACGTGCACAACCAAGATCGAGCTGTGATTTTCTAAACCTGGATGCATAAAACCCATGTGTGTTGGTGAACAGTGAGAATTCACAAAGACTGCGAGACGGATGATTGGTTTCCCTCAACACTGTGAGCTACTCGTCTCCAGCTCTCAGTGCAGGACTACTCTCTTCTTATTCTTCCCTTCTACACACATGAATTAAAAAACAAAGTCCTCATCTTCTGATCTTCTGACTGACTGACGGTCTGGAGCTGAAACCGGATCAGGAGGTTCAGGTTGAGTTTAGACTCCACGACGAAGCAGACTGACGTTCAAATGCAGCAGAGTTAAAAACTTACAAAAAGTGTATATTAAGATTAAAAACGAACTAACATGTTTACCCCCCACCCCCACCACCACTGTGAGCATGTAGAACAGACAGACCCACACAAACACAAACGAAGCCACATGACGAGTGACGGGGTTCAAAACAGACCGTCTCTGGTCCATTCACAGCTTGTCCACTGCAGCCACGGCCTGAAGACAAACTAAATGTGCTGCGTGGTTCTGCATTTACAACAATGTCCACGTCCGGACGTCACTACCTGTCTCGTTTCAAATACTAAAAACAAAACAAGTCCAGGTGTTCAACTTAGGATTTCTGAGTATTTTACAGAACAAAGAAGAGTTTAGGCACTGTGCTCAAACACTGCCACGATGGAAAACATGTCCACCTGACTTTTCTTTTTTTTAACTTCTAATGCTTCATTCTCCATTTTCAGACCATTGTGAGGTTAGTGAAGGAGACGTCTTAAAGCTAAAAAGAGTAAAAACAAGTAAAATGAAAAGCGGAAAGAGAAGATGTCAGCGGCATGTGTATCCATGGCTTCGTCAACAGCAGGGACGAGAAGGTTCAACATCTTCCATCAGAGAGAAAGACGCTTGCTGTGGCTGCTACTTAGCCAAGATGGTCATTAAGGCAGCCGCACTGGTCTCCACGCACACACATGCACACAACCTGCTGTCTGTGCATCTCTTCTGTCAGCTGAACAGATGCACAGTCAGACTCGTGCACGGCAGGTAGGTCTCTGAGTCTTGTAATCAATGTGATGTGCGTGAGTGCTCGTGCTGCAGGTGGTTGATGTTCAGGCCTCCACAGCGAAAACAGACCGACTTCACCGAGGGGCTGCAGACTGGAGGCCGCTGGGTGTGACCCGGGACAGAGCCTGACACAAACGACAGGAACACACACTTTTAGAATATTTTAACAACTGGTAAAATAAAAACATATATACAGAAACATATAAAGCATCTACTAGATTTTATATATTGTAAAATAAAAATGTGGTAACATTTATATTTGCCTTTCAAGGGGTGGGTTAGTCAGACTAGTCTTTTATATTTATTACATTTGTTTCTGGAAATGTTCACATATCAGTGTTTCCCCTACCATTACACAAGCAGAGCGCCCCTTCCCGTCATCAGAACCGAGCACCCCGTCTACCTAACACCCCCCCCC